CTTACCTGTACACTCTCTTCAGTTGTCCCTACCAAACTATTTGGTTGCTTCGTCTTTGTTCATATTCACAAACAACACCATAGTAAATTAGACCTCAAATCTGTCAAATGCATATTCATAGGGTATTCGACCAACAAGAAAGGCTACAAGTGTTATTGTTCTTCAACTAAAAAGGTCTATAATTTTATGGATGTCACCTTTTTTTAGCATCAATTATACTACCAAGGGTCTGTCATTCAGGGGGAGAGTAGTATAGTGAACAACAGCCCTGTGTTACTTTACCAACTGACACGGGTCCCTCATCGACTGTAAAACCTCCTCCATCTCCTATTCAACCTCCCCAGTCTACACAACCCACTTCTCAGGAACTTCAGGTCTATACAAGACGAAACAGAACTGCTGAAAGAATAGAGAACCTAACTCCGCTTCCAGCTGTTGTCCAAGAATCTAATCCGGCTCCAAAACCCTCTGAAACTCACTCAGGTACGGAATCTATAGACACTAGTGATTATGAGCTTACCTGATTTTGATGTTCCTTGCACTCAACATCCTATTGCCCGATTTGTTTCATATGAGAGGTTATCTCCTCCCTATCATGCACTTGTAACTGCGATTGACAACATAAAGGTTCCAAATTCTATTCAGGAAGCTCTCTCACATCTGGAATGGAGAAAAGCTGTGAATGAAGAAGTTGCTTCACTAGAAAAGAGTGGAACTTGAATTGTGTCTGATTTGCCCAAGGATACGAGACCAGTAGGATGCAGGTGGTTATTTACAATCAAATGTAAGGCAGACGGAAGCATAGATCGGTTAAAAGCCCGACTGGTTGTAAAAGGTTATACTCAGTCATACGGAATTGACTACCAAGTGACATTTGCCCCAGTAGCCAAATTGAACTCCATTAGAATCTTACTCTCCATTGCAGGAAACCGAAACTGGCCCCTTATGCAACTTGATGTTAAAAATGCATTCCTTAATGGAGATTTTGAAGAGGATGTATACATGGAATTACCACATGGTCTTGAAGGACAATGAAATCATTGAAGTGATCTATACTCCTTCTAGAGACCAAACCGCAGACATTCTCACCAAGACTCTCCCTAAGTCCAGTTTTGATGAGCTAACCAACAAGTTGGGCATGTACAATCTGTACAACCCACAATCTGCACAGGGGAGTGTGGAATTACGCTTGGAATTACGCTCCTCATTATTATTTACTTTATTTTATTTAATACTTGTTATATTTAAGTAATAATATAAAAAAGGTAATTCCTTAATTATTAGTATTTATGTTTATTCCATAATTATAGGAATTACTTTATTGTAGGAAGATTTCTTTCCTCTTTTTATTTCTCTTGTACTCACCTATTTCTAGGTGAATTATCTATGTATTCAAGTGAGAAAAGCATTATTCAAAATTCACAAATATTCTTCTATTTTAACATGATATTAAACTCAAGTTAGAAAAGTATATCATGACCTGGACCAAAAATTTGGAATATCAAAGTGGGAAGACCTTCAGATAGTATTAATTCCTTTTTTATTAACATTATAAATAATCCAACACATTTTCCAAAATATATAAAAAGCCACTAAACAATTAATTTTTCTTTCATGCCCAAAACAAACAATTTATTTTTTTTATACATTTCAAATAAAGCAACTAAACTAAAATATAAAATTTTCCTTAATACCAATTTTCACTTGATCTTGCTCTTTTGCAAATGAATTCCCTCCCCTCAACCATCAAATAGAGAAGTTTTTCCTGATAAAAAAATATCAATTAATAAGTTGATTCAAACAACGAGTCAGTAGGTAAAGACTTTTCTATAGGGAAGCAATTTCAAAAACATGCGGGCATGATAAGTAAGCAATACTTTTTTATTTTAATAGAAATGTAAAACATGCACATTTTAATCAATCCCAGAAGATAAATATGCATTTATCAAACAACATGACATTTTAAAAGAAAATTATCATATTATCTTAAAAAAAAAACACACCAATCAGAGGAGTATTGTTTATTTTTGCACCACTTAAGATACAACTTTTTCAATTTTGTTTCAAATCATTTCTAATTTTTTATCCGCAAAATCATTAGCAACCCCCGGCTTGTGTTATAAAGGGATAAACTCTATAATCTATCATGCACATATATTTCCTTTTTCCAATTCTTTCATTTATCATTATCGTATTTATATTTATACTTTTAAAAGTGATGATGCATGAGATTGACATGAAATTTTAATTTGGCTAAATTATTTACAACATGAAGACATTTATACAAAGAAAAAAAAAAGAACATTCTTTAAATAATTTAGTGACAGATTGTATCCTTAGCAATTTGAATATAGATGAATCTGCCAATCACTGCATCGAATTTGTTATAAGAATTGTAAAATAAATCTATAGGCTCTAAAAATCTCATTTAGCTCTATCAAATATTCAATTGATTACAAGTTGACTTTTTAGAAGATAAATCAGATATCAAATAGGACGGCATGAGAAGATTATGCCCTCCAACATAGACTTAATAATCTGATTCGAGTTTTCAGGAGCGCAAGCTCCTATGGATACCCCTCAATTACGAGAGAAAACTTTCGATTCATGCTAACAAATAAAATGTGATAATTTATTTAGCATCAATAGTTTGAACTATAAAAGGAAACTTTTCAACATTGCCCATGTGAGTTGGTAAAAGCAAAACTATTCTTGATTATTTTTGTTTTCATGTTACCAATGTATGATTTAAACTGTCATAATCAATTTTCTATCCAGTTTGCTTGCAATATAGTCTTCCGCAAAAGGACCCAACACATAAAGATGACTTTCACTTTGCCAATGCAGAACAATTAGCTAAAATCTATGAATTGAGAGGATGTTTGTGATGATCCTTGGAATATTTCAAGGTATATATCTCATGCTTAAATGCATTCTGATTGTATTCTTCAACATGGATGTGACTATTGGTGACTGCCAGCAAATTGACCAAATAATTATAACACCTGCATTTTTAGGGCATAGCAAGAATACAAGAAAAACCTTGGAGGCCTGGATAAGAATGAGTTCCATGTTTTAAACCTCTAACTTCTCATTTTAGAGCATGCCACGAATTGCATCAACTTATTTGACCCTTGCCTTTTGTTCAATAGCACTTGTACATCCATGAGTGGCCTCTGCATGCTCGTAAATTGAGTAATTAATTGTTGTTTGAAATGAAAGATGTAATGCTTTATAATGGCAAGAATAGGAACCAACACAATAGTGCAATCTTAAAAGTAGTGAAAATGATTCAATATTTTTCTCAGTCACTAATAAAAAGGAATGAAATTTTTTACAGAAACAAAAATGAGATTCACTGGGTCCAATTTCCTTTAATGAGAATCAAATACCAACATTTTGAATTTTTGAGGTAATTGCTTAACAATCTGCATTGATAAAGCGTTAGTTGGTCTAGTCATATTATTACACCTTTATCGAAAAGATTAAAATCATGATTCGAGGATCTCCAAAAAAGATAATGATGTACAAGATGTCATCATCAAAGTTTCTTCATTAAAATATTAAATAAGTTGAGGCAAAATGACTCCAAAAAATTACTCAAACCTCACGGATAATGTTAACAGTTCTTAAACAAATGTATGTCATTCTTGAATTAATCTGTTGTATTTTTGGAAAGATTAATATGTATTTTGTGGTTTAAGGGCAACTTATGTTTCATAACCAAGAAAAGAATATAATATGTATATCTTGGGAGCTCTTGAATGTTTTTAGTAGTAAATATTGCTCCTTAGCTTTGAAAAATAATTTCGAATAGAAATGTTGAGTAAATAATCAGCACTAAATGCAACTTTCTATATTCTAACTTTTGAACAGCTTTACCTTATGGTAATTGTTGTAGGTGAATTCTCATTCACTAGAGTAACCGCCCTATATATAATAAGAGAATAGGGAAAACAGCATATATTACACTCAAATAAAATATTCCACCCACGCAACATAGAAAATTTTTTAAGGAAATGTTTTCTACATTAGCACTCTCTCTCGAGTTGGTGCGCATGTATCATCTAAATCTAACTTATTAGATAGGATTGATAAGTGGTGAGATCAAAGCATCCTGGTAAATATAAATCCCACGGCCATCTTAATAAATTCAATCATGAAATTGCAAGCTCGACAATACATTGTCCTTAAAACAACATAAGGAGATTGTTAATATCAATGCTTTCAGAGTCATCAACCTTCAATCTGACTGAGTATGGAGCCTTTCATAAGACTATAAACTTAACCCAAAGGAATGTCAACACTTTCAAAATTTCATCGAAAAGCTTATTCGCATGAGATACTAAGAGAATTTTTCCTTGCTAACCCATGAGAATATCCCGACAAGGCATCAATGGTAGAGGGCAACAACAAGCCAAACTCAACTCAAGTAACACATTGTCGGTGTAGTTTTGATGATTCTTAGAGAAGCCAAGATCAAGGCATCAAGGCATTCAAGTCTCAAACAACTTAAGTTAAGAGAGATCTTCTCTGCCAGAAGCTCAAGCACCACACAAATTCTCTGAATTTGATTCAAAGACTATTAGGAATTTAAACAATGAAACCATTATTGTCACTACTTGAATCACGAATTGTCAAATTAATAGCATTTTAATTGGCAGGATGAGTTCTATAAATATTATCTTTAATAATGTATTTGTTCAAGTTGTTACTTACAATGTTACGCCCCTACTACTTATCTCTTGAACAACAAGAGCAAGAAAAAATCATTGTTCTACACACATGTGAGGGAACGCAAACGATAATACACCTTTATGGTAATTCAATATAATTGATGCGCCGACATCCTACAATGTCATATATGGCTAACTATTGCTCAAAATCTTAGAAGTTGTCATCTCAAATCATCATTTCGCTGTAAATTAAGCACATTGCAGAGTTATGATCATTTAGCAAGATCGACTATAATAACCAAAGTATAAACTAAAGCTGATGGGGCCAATTTAAGAATAAGTTCTTCAACTAAAAAATTGAATGAGCCAACCTTGTGACTACGAAGGCAAACAAAGAAGTGGTAGTCTCATGTTTAATACCAAGTTTAATGTTGAGAATATTTCTGCATTTGTTGGCTACTTATGATCGAATGCTGTCATTTTAGTGGTTACCTATCAATATGTCTAGTTTTGTCAATACTTTGATGGAGGCTATTCAATCCAAAGTTCATAAGATGTTAGAAACTAGCTTCATCCTTGAAGTCAACAATTAGAATTGAATCTTTTGAAACATCGAGATAAATTGCTTAACCTAACCTTTAGAAATATGTTAACTACCATCCACTATCAAAAGCCTCTCTAGCTAACCTTTGCGGCTACATTACATGTCATTACCTACCTATCCCCAGCATCTTTGGTGCCTACAACCCCTAATCACTATCTAGAGAGATTGTTACATATTTTTTAAGGGCATCTCAGACCCACAAGTAGATAGAGAGAGAGAGAGAGAGAGAGAGAGAGAGAAGATCCGTGAAAACTAAGAGAAGGGAGGAGTTTTTTCAAGTTATAAATGATGGAGGTCATCTACTTCTTCAAGAAAAAACATTGCTAGTTTTGATTCTATATAAAGTACATGTTTTCATCTGTAGTAAGGAGAAGCTCTTATTTGGACTCATGTAATGGAAAATCTTACTTACCGCCTAAAAATTTGTGGCAAGTGAACAAAATAACTCTCCTAAGCAACTTTTTAAAAATATCAGAACTATATCTACTTTAATGAAAGAGTACTAATGTATATTTATTTTTATGGGGGTAAATATGACAAATTGATTACAATATTCTATTGTCTTTCTTTTTTTTTAATCTCAATCAGGAAATAGATGATTAATTTTAATATTTATCTTAAGCATATGAATTAAAAATACAAGAAAATATACATTATCTTTTTGCTCTATCCCCTTGAATTAGAATTGTAAATAAATATAGTAGTGTCAAATATTGTTTTGTTCAAGCTTATTCATTTATTAAATGATAGCGCTTATATCTTTAAATTGAGAAAGCGAACAACAAACATTACTCAAAAAAAAAATGATTGCCCCCAAAAAAGATTTCTACCTTTTCTATCACATGTTAAAGTCATCTCATAATACTCCGACGAACAACTTGGTAAATCAAAAAAATCTAAGAGGTTTTCTTTTAGCCTTTCCCATTGTGGGTTAAGTTCATGAGGTAGCATGTCATGTTGATAGTCTAAAGCAAACCTAATTCCTCATAGAATTTAGTACAGCTCTTATCATCATGGATTGTAGTTAAGAGTTTAAGGAACTTAACTAAACCATTAAGAATAAAATATACTTGTATAAAATACAAAAAAAAGAAAGCTTAGAATGATACTTAATGATGGATAGGACCTGATAGGACTACAATAATTTTTTATTATTTGTCACGAATCTCGATGCATAACACACGTCTCGAACACCTTTTTAGGCAAAAATAATCAAATCTTGATAAAAAGTCATCCAAAGCTCTGATTTCAGCAAAATTACAGTCAAACTGACCGGCTCAACGAGACAGAGCCAATGATATCAATATTTGTCCAATCTGAGTCAAATCAAGCTCAGATCAAGTCATTAAACCACTCTTGAAAGTTTTTCAGACATATTTAAAAGGTCAAACAAATGTCGAATCTAGCAAGTCTATGGTGAAATCGAGCATCTCGACAAGAAGAATCCAGCAAGCCCGATGTAGCTAAATTTTGATATCATTGAGGCACTAAAATGTCCATGAAATTTCATCTGATCAAAAGAAACTCTTCTGACCGTCTGATCAAAATGGTTCATATTTATGTATTAATTGCACCAGAACACTATAAATAGAGTCTCACCCCTCTCACAGAGAGGATGAGAGTTTGAGATCTAAGTAAGAGCTTCGCATATTTTCCATAAGAATAAATTTGTATACATGATCTTCGCTCATCTAAAATCTTAACAAATGTAAGTTTCCAAAAGTACATGATTTATATTCATGTAAAAATCTTATATAAGCATAAGAAATGAAAAATACATTCTCTAATCACCCAAAAATGTCAATATGAAATACATATTCAAAAGTCTCAAATGACACCAGATGTTGGGCAAGTTCTTTATTAAATAGCCCCTGCAGGTTCTTATTATCATAACATGTTTAAATGATGTAGAATACACTCAACCTCAGCATCACTTTGTTTTGACTATAAGGCAATAACTTTTGCTACCAACTTAAAAGTTTTGCTCTGATGGCCTTGAATTATCTCACTACAGAAAAACTAGAGGCTTCATATGGTCTCAATGACATTTTTAGGGTTTTTTCTTTAATAGGTGCGATTCACAAAGATTGAGCATTGCCATACAAGCTGTAGGGAGATTCGAGTTATCACCCACATTTAATCAGTATTCAAATTCTTAAAGAAGAACTCAATAGAAATCCTACAAAACAAATGAATTACACGTAATTTCTTTCAAAGTTTGACATTCTCTTAAAAATTATTTAACTTCAGAAAATAATACATCATCCTCTCCCACTTCAACTCAACTTTCCGATTGAAAAAGAAAATTTCTATGAAAATCCTTAGATCATTAAAGAAATATTATTTTTTTATGCGGGAGGGTTACCTAGAAAATACCTGGATAGAGAGCAAAATGATTTCGGTTGATTCCGACCAGCAATACTGGTGGATTTCTCTTGACCTGACAAGTAAATTTCAGATCAGCGCCGGAAGCCGGCCGCGTTGGAATGCTCCCCAGCTGTAGCTTCATTGCATAGCCAATCTGCCTGATGGTAAAACTCCAGAGATGAAGCAGAGCGGGGCGTTGGAGTCGAGGTGAGCTTCATTGCATAACCGCTGCGCATGATTGAACTTAAATAGGATTTAGTAAATCTTATAATTTCTAATTTATCAAATAAAAAAAAGGAAAAGTATGAAAATGTGTTTGATTCTATTGAGATTAAATCTAATTAAAGTTTCTTAAAGTGTGTGGTTGATTGAGAAATATTTGCGTATGTCTAACGTATGTAGAGCTGCGTACATCAGTAGTTTATATGGAGGGTATTGTGGGGTTATTTATACTCCATATAATCTTTCTGCAACCCACCTGTAACATATTTGTAACTTACAATATATGAAAATAGAAGCGCGGAACTTACTAGTTACAGAGAGGTTTCAGAAAGGTTACAGGACTATAACGCCGATATAACCCCCAATACCCTTCATGTAACCTACCGATGTACGCAGCTCTGCGTACGTTAGACGTACGCAAATATTTATTGTGGTGATGAGAGAAATGATAGCTCGCAGGTATTTGGTGGCGAGAGATAATAATTGATAGGTGTATTTTCTCACTCACTTATATTCATTAAATTGATCACTTAATTGGATTTAATAAATTCAGAATTTACATCAAAATATATAAAATTTTAGATTTAAGATACAATGGGATTTAATATCTTTTTCTTGCGTTTGGTAAGATTTATGGTAAATCCTTCTATTATTGCATACCAAACACTGACAATTAATTATAAAATTTATTCTCTTTTTTAAACACCAAACTATGAAATATATGATTACTCTTTTTTTTATCTTGAAAATACAACAACAAAAACAACAAAATAAGTCTTTATCCCACCAGATAGGTCAGCTACATGAATCATTTTTCTACATTGTGCACTATTGGGTGTTATATTTCAATTCATTATAATAGATTAAGATTATTTATTATACAATATGCCCAAGTCCTTTTAGGTTTACCTCTACCTTTCTTAACATAAGTCGAATGTAAAACATCAACTCTTCTAAGTGGATCATCAGATGGTCCACATTTAATGTGACCAAACCATCTAAGACTGCTCTCTATAATCTTGTATGCAACTGGAGCTACACCAACCGTTTCACGGAAAGATTCGTTTCGCATTTTGTCTCAAAGCATCAAGCCACTCATCCACCTAAGTATTCTCATCATGACAACACTAAACTTTGTTTATGTTTCTCTTTTAAAGGCCAACATTTTATGTCACAAAGCATTGCAAGTCACATCACCATCTTATAAAATTTTCTTTTAAGTCTAAGCAGTACTTTTCTATCACACAATAAGCCTGATGCATTCCGCCACTTCAACCAACCAATATGAATTCTACTAATAACATCCTCATCTATATCACTATCACTTTGAACAATAGACCCAAGTTATCTAAAACGTTCACACATTTTCATTATTCATCACCCAAAGTTACAACTCGGCCACTATAGCTATTACAACTAAAACTACAGTCCATGTATTGAGTTTTAGATATGCTCAAATGAAAGCATTTAGACTCTAACGTAGACATTCATACATCAAGTTTTTCATGAACTTTTTCTTTAGTCTTATCCACAAGATATATATCATAAGACAAAAACATACGCCAAGGTAAATCATCCTATAAATGTCCATTAAGAGCATCCATAACTAGAGTAAGAAAAATGAGCTTAAAGTCGATTCCTAATGTAATCCAACTGAAATAGTAAAGTACTTGATCAATCCTCCTATTCGAATATTCGAACACAAGTAACAAACAGAAAAAGAGAGATAAATGGATAGTAATCAATCATATCTTATGCATAAAATATTTTTTCTCCATAAAGGAGATGGTGCAATAGTGATATTACATTTTTACTCTAGTTTGGACGGGTCCATACTAGGGTTTTTCTATTATTTTTACATGTATAGGCTTGTCATCCAAATACTTTTTAGATCGATCGACAAAGCTCAGTTGGCTTCGGCTTAAAAGGATCTGCTCGATCGATTTAGTTTGGTTGATATGGGTCAGTTAGCCAATCTAGTCCGACTGTCATTCCTTAATCCTTTGTGATTAGTCTCTGGGGTATCCATGGGATTATTAGAGATGTTGTGGAATAGGTTCTTCCCTTGAATTGACTTTACTAGAGGGTAGGCTATCACATCGGGCCGACTTTTCTGTAGTTGTTGGTTTGGATGTTCCTCTATCATGTTTTTAAACGAATATCTTGTGCTTGGATTATCCAACGTCTTCTTTTCCACCTCATGGCCCCTTCGCTTCTAGCTTGGTTGGCTTGGATCGGATGGCTTCGCTTGGTTAGTCAAGTGGCGCTCACTATCTCTTGATAATGGGCCAATCTTTACCGTACTTTTCTCTTCTGGACTACTAGAACTTCTTAAGGTCAATACTAACCCATATATATATATATATAGATACTTATGTACATATATATATATATATATATATTCATTTTGAATTATAAAACATAAAATTATGAAAAATAAAATAAAATCATTTGATTCTTTATATCAATGTGATTTTTAATTATTCGATGCAAATGAAACTCTATACATTTATATTCTTTAATGTAAATTTTTATTTTATTTAGGAGGATCAATTATATACTCTTAAAATAAAAACTCATTATATTATCTAAAATTTTTAGAGAAATTTAAATACATATCACATAATTAGTTTTTATTTACATATATAGCAACTAAAACTTGATATTTATCTTTATATCTATTTTATAAAATTATGCATGAAAAAGTGTACTTTACTTTTAAAAAATTAATAATAGTGAAATTTTTTACATGATGTTAATGTTGCAAGCATTATGTTTGTAAATATAAAAATTTGTATTAGATATGTATGTATATACGTAAGAATTGGTCAGTGCCCACAAAACAAGCGCGAATCTGTTTTCAGTTATCACACTTCTTCTCCAGAAAGTTAAAGCCATAATTCTAATGGAAATATTTCTCCACCAAAAAAAAAAAAGGGAAAAGAGAAAGGCAGGACAGACGTAGATTATTAGGAGTAGAGTAGGCATGAGGAAGAAGAGTATTTTCTAAAAACTTATTCAGTCTCTCTCTCTCTCTCACTCGATTCTGCTAACCGTCGTTCTTAAGAGCATTGCATCTGTCTTTCTTCCCTTGGTTTTATTTCAAGACAGCTCTTTTTTCTTAATTTTTGAATTTCTATACTTTGTGGAACAATTTGAGATTTATTCCTCTAATATTTTTTCAAGTTTTCCCTATTTTTATATCTTAGTTTGTTTCAAGTTTGGATTTTTAATTAGTTTTTTTTTAAGAAAAAACTCCTCTTTGCATTTGGATCATATTTCCTAATGCTTTCTCAGTAGTTATCATCATCATATAATCTCATTATCCATGAATAAGGAGAAAGAGGCTGCAACTAACGTTCCAACGCCTAACGAATCAGAGAATCAAGCCTCTGCAAGCAGAAACAACAACGAAGCTTCAACATCTACAGAAAACAGGGAGAAAAACAGAGAGGAGAGCATCGTTCATGGCGGTTCAACGGATTTCTCCCGTGTCCCGATACCTGTATGTTCCTGCACCGGTGTTCGTCGTGAATGCCATAAGTTTGCCGGCGGTTGGCGGTCAACATGTTGCACGGCGAGCTTGTCGGAGTATCCTCTGCCATTTACTTCTTCGAGGCCAAAAAAGCGAATTATGGGGAGGTCGATCACGAAAGCAGCTTATAAAAAGATTCTTGAGAGACTTGCAGCTGAAGGTCATGACCTTTTATGGGGTGTTGATTTGAAGAATCATTGGGCAAGAGCTGGTGCCAATCAACATAAACGTTTCAAATAACATAAGATGTGTTCTTTACGGTAATAAGTTTTTGCATTTTTAGCATTTTAGCCTTTATTTGGTTGTTTTTTTTATTGATGCTATAATAGAGATTAATGTTTTGTGGAGTTAGATAAAAGTATAATTTTGCTTTCCTTGCAGTATCTAGTTTTGGGTTAGTAACCATGAATGCATCATTATTTGGTGAATTCATTGTTAGTTATGATTTTGTGAAGTAACAAAAGAATGGGCATTGAAGAGTCATTCATCAAGCTATTGCTTACAACTTGAGATTTGAATGCACTTTGGAGATATATAATTACGTTTTAAATAATCTTAGAGTTGGATTTATCTAATCATTTATGGATGCAATAGTCCTCTACCATAGAAAAAATATTACATCAGGACTCCGCACGTAGAGCTCCGCACGTAGAGCTACGTGCAGAGTCTAATGAAATTACGGCGTGAATGTGATCGGCCCGGTAACAAAAGAGAATATTCTTCTTGTGTTATTCAAGTGTTATTGTGTGTTATTCAGGTGTTATTGTATGTTATTCATGTGTTATTATGTTCCGAAAATATTTCTGGTGTTATAATAACACAATAACACATCGATAATACTTGAATAACACATAATAACACAATAATACACAATCACACCTGAATAACACCAGGGGAATATTCCCTTATGTTGCAAGGCCGATCACCTCCACGACGTAATTTCATTTGACTCCACACGTAGCTCAGCGTGCGAAGTCCTGATGTAATATTTTTTCTGCACCACAAGAAAGTGCAAATTCCAACGAATTTTGTCATCGAATAATTGGTAAATTTCGTCAGTCTCTTATATTTTTGTGTGCTCGCTCGTGTTCGACTCGTTTACACCCCTATTTTTGACAGACATAACTATGCAACAATTTTCTTGATCGAAATAATTTCTGAAGGCCTTATGTCGTCTGAATAGTAAATATTACTATTTATCGATGTGAGAATTTTCGGTTGCATGCCTATGGTATTTGGCTTGCGATTAAATTGTGACAGGTAGCTCCCGTCAATTTCTGTCTATTGAGAAAGGGCGGTCGAGTATGTCGTATTCATATAACTAACAGACAAGTCGAACGAAAATTTGCCGGAAAACTATAGAAAAAAAATCCTTCAGGTCAATTACTGTTATGTATGACTCATATACGATATAAGGGACATATACTATAATGAAGTGGAGCAGAG